TCAGGGTCTGGAAAGGTCAAATTGAGATGCGATCTACTCAGCCAAACACTTTCATAACCCTAGCAGATGAAACTAGTTCGATTCCGCTCCAGGCCAGCCAAGCCTCTCATCCCTCCTAGGTCGGGAAATTCGTACCAGACTTGTCCATGGAAAAACTACTCTCTATCATCCAGTTAAGAACGCTTCAGCGCGACTATCTCAGGGCTCCAGGAAGAATTGCTCGACCAACATTCAACGAAATTTAAGATTAAATGAAAATTCTCAAGCAGCAATCGAAGCAACACTTAAAAACTTGGAAGACCTTCGTGGACGATGGATGCGAGGAAACGAATTGAATGTGAGAAGTGCTGGTATCCGCACAGTAAACATGAAGACGAGTCAAATAAAATAAAATAAAAATATATGTATACGCCTCCACTGTTCCTCACAATACATCATCAATCTATTGCAGAAGTCTCTACATTATAAGTGCACGTCCTTACTTGCTTCTGTTTATTGATCGCGTGTTGTTGTACGTATATCCGTTGAACGCGTTACACTCGTTTTTGTTACGTTAATATTGATAAATTACATTGATCAACTACACCGAGGTTAAATGAAAGTCAGTTTACAATGATGTGCTAATATTATCTATGCAGGACCCCATAATACTACCGGCTACATCCGAGCCGAGCTGAAAGCCACGAAGTACATATACTTCTCTTAAGTCATACGACGTTCTTCAAAAGGATAATCCGAGATCTACAAGTTGTTTACGAAGATATCCCTTTGCGCAAAAAGACCTTGGATGGGGCGTAACCATTTGAGTAAGCGGGATTTCGACAGGGATTCTATTGCATGGACCACATCTAAACTGTGTCATGCATCATAGAAGTTTGTCGGAGGTACCATCTGCCTCTTTTGCCAACCTCTATCGACTGTCAAAGAACGTTTGAAAGCGTCGAAACAAATGCAATCCTATGAGAGCCCGTCGATCGAGGAATGCACTGGTCCTGTATACGAACGGCAGATGAGTGCTACCAGAAATGCAACGCAAAAGCACAGGTTTTCGATCGACTTCCTACTACACCCATAGAAAAAGTGGTACAATAGGGCGGTACAATATCGCCAAAGCTACTTATTGCCGTGCTACAGCGGATAATGAGATCATTCGATTGAGTTGAGAAGGGTACTTGTATTGACGGAAGATCCTTATCAAATCTTCGTTTCATGGATGGATGATATTGTCAACTTTTTGAGAGCTGCTAGTGAAGAAGAGACAATGCCCAGTCAACCAAAGTGGGAAGAAGGATTGGACTGCGCATAAATAATACAAAGACATAGTCCATAAAGAAATTATGGTGCCAAAACAAACAAATCAAACTGGATTGTTCTTTTGTTACAGAGACAATCTCCCACGTGTACCTTGGACGTTAGTGAACAGGAAGAAAAATATGAAGAATAAGTTAAATAAAAGGAGAGCATTACAGGCCGCATACGGACCTCTAAAAGAAACCAACCAACTAACGGACCCAATACTCCGCGCTCACCTTTTCAACTCAACAGTTCTCTCAGCGCTCAACTATATAGACGGGCTAATACTTCAACCACGTCAAGAACTCTGCGCACCACACGCAGAACGCTTGAACGAAGTCTTCGGAAATTTGTTCGCCATTCACAACGTCTAACGGGAATGCGCAGTTCAGATTCTCGAAATCTCTGTTGACTTTGGGATTCAAGAGAACATGCATCGGTAGCAAAGCGGGGATGGGTCGGTCACGTAAAGAGGATGAGTGACAGACAACAGGTGAACGAAAATAACAGTTAAGTAGACTGCAAAAGAATGCAAGCATTGCTCTGAACGATTGCCAAAATGATGGGCGGGCATGTTCGTGACTAACGTCAACCATCTCCATTCGCAGATGGGAACGATTTCAGGACAACAGAGTAAGCTTCGCGAATGTAATCATGTTCTGTTTAAGCGCACCACGATCAAGAGGACAATGGAAGTTCTTCTAACGCCCGCACTACAACAAAGATGGGCCATCAAAATATGCAAGTAAGTTAATGTTATTCGTATAACAGTTTAATTACCAAAGTTGGAAGTTCGTACTGCGATACACATTGAAGACTTCGTATTTTTGTTGAGCAAACGCGAGGTGTTATTATTCTTTGTTCACGATTAAGCTGACGTTTCGGCGGATTTCGCCTTCCTCAGAGCCTGGAAAGGTCAAGTTGATAGCAACATTCTTTGTTCACGATTAAGCTGACGTTTCGGCGGATTTCGCCTTCCTCAGAACCTGGAAAGGTCAAGTTGATAGCAATCTACTCGGCCAGACGCCTCCATAACCAAACAAAGGAACTCTAAACCAAGATTTCAATCGCTTTGAACACAGTTTTGCACACTCACCGCTTCCTATGAGGTTTCCACTAAGTATGTCACGTAGAGACCAACCGCACTGAAATCACATGGAAGTATAATGTGACCCTCACACCAGAACAGCAGTTTTATATACTGCCCTATATCACGCGTGATAATGAGGCATTCTTCCCTGCGGTTCATTTTCGGATTTCTGGAATTAATCCAGAGTGCCTCGAGAGTTTTTCGCGCCTGTGTTCTTGATTCGCGTGCGAGGATGGTGACACATACTTCAAAGTCGTCCCCGTTGTCTCTGGGTCCTATGCGTGCCTAGCGGGGTATTTGGTCTATTTTTGCCGGCTAGGTGTTCTTTCATGCGGACACAGAGGGGTCTACCCGTTTCGCCAATATATTCGTCACCACACGTCTTACAGGAGATCAGATAAACTATACCCGAGCTCATGCAATCACCGTCTCTACCACTGGGGCAAATTATGCAATTTTGAGTTGCACATAGACGGTCATATAGGCGGTTACGAACTAGCTGGCGCCTTAGATTATTCGGTGGTATTTCGATTATCGTTACCGAATTCTCTAAGCCCGCCCTTCTTAAGCAGCGTTTTATAGCTGTACTTATATCATTTGAGATGAAGGGTATCTTGATCTTGATCAATGATCAATGGTATCTTGATCAATGCCGAGGTTAATAGAAAGTCGGTAGTGGCAGTTACATTGAAGACTCACAACGTAGGCCAAATTCTTAGAAGCTATACCACATAAACCAGCCGAGACATAAGACTTCTTGCACCTTTACTACTGTATTGGTCTGAAGCTTCTCTTATGCAAGTAAATTTTTAAAGAAAGCATTCATTGGTAGCAAATTCGTAAATTGTTTCAACTTATTGATGGTACAAATGCTATAAAACTATAACTACGTCGCTGAGCAACACTGTATTGGGCAAATCTGAAAGCTCTGCACTACCTAGATATTATTAGATATACATTGAACAGAATCAATATTCATTCATTCAGTCATGCAAGGGACGAAACAGCATCTTAAAGCATTTGTTGAGCAAAGCGTATTAAATATGAATAGAGGAGATATGCAGGTAATTCAATGCAGAGCAACACTCTATGAGCTGAATTGCTTAGAATTATTTTAGAACTTGGATCGACATTATGGCACGGTAACAAATCATGGGAAATCGGCTGTATCGTCCTCGATTGCTTGGGTTAACTAATCCAAGTAATAGCTGCTGTTCTGGAAGAATCCTAGTCTCCAGGCAGCATTTCTTGCTTCAGTATACAGGTATTGAAATGCCTGTGAAAAAAAAATATGTGAAAAATTACGACGGACTCCAGGGGAAATCGTGTCCATCCACTGTCCACCCACTAAATTATTGAGAAGCGAAGTCGATAAATCGTTGCCGAATAGAAGCACCACTACGGACCATTTTTACGGATGGTAGCTGTGGAACAGTGAATGATTACCGTTACTCCAAATGGTTGCGTAAGATACAGAAGAATGTGGAAGTATCAGTAACAAAACAGCTAGTTGGTCTGTTGTGGAACATTGCAAAGTTCAGTTCATGTTATTATGCCGAAAAGCTAGTTAGGAAATAAAAATCGTGCTTATATAGGAGGGTTTGAGTCTGCCTTCTTAGAAACAAAGTTTGAAATTAGTTAGTACAATATCATTCTCTAGTATTGAACTGCATTGAAACAGCACCTAAATGAATGAGTGGAATGAAAACGAACAGAATGTAAATCCGTAAAGGCACACGACAACTGATGTGCGGATAAAGAGCGAACTTCGATCGTGTACAATTCAGTGTGATCATGCTAAAAGCGGATGTGCCCACCTATTATTGATAGATGATCAGTTGACCAGTTATCAGTAATAGCCAACTGCTATCTTAATTGTTTGAGTACTGGCCAATCGGAAGCCTTATTTAGTACTCCAATTATGAATAGGATGCTTCAGGGCGAATAGAATGAATCTGAAGTCGCAAATCTTATAAGCATTTCATCCACCTATTGAAATCACACGGCTCCCGACAATTTTGGACGTTTCAGTTCCCATGTTTGATCCGGCTCTTTTTTTTCTTCATTGCCTTTCATTCAACATGAATCATTCGCCGGTAGGAGCTCACTACACCGCTTTTGCTGCCATCGTTCTTCATTGTACCACTAATGGGTGGATGGCCCAGTGGCAGTGATGCCGATTATTACGAGCATGGTAGTGGTTCAACCCTGCTCCGGGTCTAACCTGTCATCCCACTTGGATCGGAAAACTGGTGTCGGACTTGTCCGGAAAAAGTTCTCTCTCCAATCCCAGTGGGAACGCTCTACCTCAGTTATCTTAGGAGTCCAGGGAGAGTGGCGACCTGCATTCAACGACATTCATGATGAAAGGAAAATCTTCGAGCAGTAGCCGAACCCAAACGTAAAAAATTGGAAGACCTTCGTAGATGATGGATGCGAGGAAACAAATTTAACGGGAGAAATGTTGGGATCCTCATAGTAGATGTGAAAAACTAGTCTTGAGGGAAAAAACTGTACCATTAGACCTAGGATGATCAATGGCAAGAGAGACAGCCTAGAATGACCACACATGATGAATCCGCTTTGTGGCTCACGATCAAAGCTCGCTCTCTAATTGTCACCGCGCATGATGTGGTGGTAATTGTGGGTAGAAGCGTGGCACGATGTCATTCTGTACACCTACGAATCGTGGCGCTTCTGTGATTCGATCGAACATAACTTCGTGATTGAGATTCGGATTGTGACGGAACGTTCGTTGTGTTTTTCCGTTGCTGATGGAACATCGTTCACGTGCCATTTTACGTTGATGATGTCGTTTACGCCATTGATCATAGCACACAAAAATGACGACGATTGTTGTCAGTGTAAGAAAACCAGCCGTAGCACTGATGATGATCTCACGTGAATAGCCTGAAAATGTTATACTCATCCATAATAGCACAGGTTGTTCGCATAGAACACTCTTGATTACGAATAGCTGAAATCATCATTACATTGCCATTTCCTTACAGCTAAAATCCATTAAGCTATCTCTGATTTGGTGATAGATATAATTTTGATAGTTCAGCATAAAGCAAATAGCTATTTTTGCACGCCACAGAGTTTTCAGATAAAATCAGTGGTTCTGTGCAACTTAGCCGTCTCCAAAGCTTCCACTGACAGAAATCGTCCACTTCAAAAACGATTCATGTGCTTTGTACTATGTTTTTAAGCATTTTTGAATGCACATGAAGGATGAACATGAGAATGTGCATGATACGAGTAAGTCCTAGCTACAACAAATGAACGACTTCGTCCATGTTTAAGGACTCTGTTCTCATTGCTAAAGTCGATACGTTATTCATAATTCATTCATAATTAAGTGGTTCCTTCAATACCTCGTCGTATGCATATATATATATATATATATATATACATATATACGTGTATATATACGCATACGGCACATATATATATAAAGCTCTCGGCTTTGATCAATCCCTTAGGGATGCGCCATGCATTCGACTTCATCAAGTATCGCTGGAGGTGATTGAATGCATATCTGGCCTTTTAAATGACTCGCGATGGTCTACCGATGTATCGAGCCAGTGCTGCTATCCTTCCAGACAAGTGTGGTACCAATTCGCCGACCCCAGAGAGATGGAAGACTTGGTGAGCCATAGGCGCTGGGATCGATTCCACGTGTGCGTCGCAGTGGCGCCTCCAACCACTGCGCCACACGCGCCATATATATATATATATATATAGTACGGTATCTAAATATATGAACTACATACAATGCCGCTCATCGCTGTAGTCACCTTCGACGCAATTTTGCACACCATTGCAAACTAGCGACGAATCAATACACAACTGTGGCCGCATCACGCATACGCCTTGGTCCTGAACAGAATACTTTCAAATTAGGTATAACAGTAATTGTTTTGTTAACAAAGAAGATGAAAAATAAATTTCTTAGATGAGTTTGGCAAGACGTCGCTGATGGATAATTGTCCTTTTTTACCCTAGGTTCTTTAGACGATTTGAGGATGTCTGGTTGAAAAAAAAATGCTTAAAACGATCATCTGTTCGACTTTGAAGAAATTTTATCCAGCAGATTGCTATAATAGAAAGTGTTGAAATGAGTGATGAACCGATTAGCTGTTGTCAAGAGTGATGAAGTTCTAAGAGGTCGTTTGTGAACGAGATTTGAAAAGATTTGAAAGTTGTATTGACATGGTAGTGTTCATTGTTCCTACTATTAAATATTCGCATTTCCCGGTATTCTTTTTTAGATATCCAAACTGTGACTGTATTCATCCAAAATCTTATAAGCTAAAGCTGAAGGTTTGCTGACACAATTAATTTAGTTGTCCTAGAAACAATGTACTGATCAATAGTGGTCGATTCAATACAACACTTATTGAGCAAGCCAGTATCACTTGTTGAATTGATGAAACAAAACAATATGTGTGGACTATATAATAAGACTACTATATCAAATAGTAGTCTTGAACTGAAAAGCTGGTCAACGACGATTGATAACGATCGATAGTCCTACCTTTTCAACGCAAATTTGTCCTCCGTGGCAGGTGAATTGGGTGCATGAATTGTCTTGACCAGAATTTTGTTTCGACCACATTAATGCTGATGAGGATTGTTGGAGTTCGTTGAAAGCATTCTCAACAGCCGTCCATATAAGCTGAAATTTTGGTTAGTCAAAGGATAAAGGATGAAGCTCTCGGCGTACCCTTTAGGATGCGCCGTGCATTCGACTTCATTGAGAACCGTTTTAGGTGGTAGAATGTATATTTGACTGAAAACAGTAATTTGTGGTGGCCTAGTGACGTATCAGATCAATGCCGCCATTCTCCCGAACAAGTCGGGTGTGAAATTCTCAACTCCAGAGACATTTGGGGCTTGGTGAGCAACGGTACGAGATTGAACCAGTGACTGATCCAATCCATATTGCAGGGCACCTCTTACTATTGGGATAGACACGTCCTTTTGGTTAGTTATCAAATAATATTGACCTAGAGCATGTTGATTAGTGATTCATTCCAATTAAAGTCGATGAATGAGTTAAAGAGTCAAGTTGGACCACCTTGAATCCGATTCGATCTGCTACTAGTGATGACGATGGTCGATCTTTCGTATTGAATCTGAAAAAGAGGACTCACATATGAAAATCACTAGTCAGCAAATTTGTGTTTCTTCCTTTTTGACAAATCCACGATTGTAATTTTTCTGGAGCTTCAAGTTGCGCTTGAGCATTTCGTTCATCTTTCGAACTTAACGTTTCTTCGAAATGAGATGCTCAAATTTTTCGCTCAATTTTGTCTACACGGGTACTACTCGTCCAAAACCATATTGTATATATGCGAACCTTGCAACCAGCTTAACAACCTTTTCGGCGTCAATCTGATTAGGCAGATTGCAACTTCATAAACTTGAAACATACTTCAATTCAAACAACTGCTTTTTCGCTTGGAATTATAACGGATGACCGATGGAGTGTTCAGGAGAGATGAATGGGAAAGATGGATCGTAACAAAGAATATACGTTTGGTTCCCAATGCACTCAACCTCATTAAGGGTTGTAAACATGACTGAATATCTATCTAACCGATACAATAACTTTCGAGGTGCCAACGAATGTACCATTTCAGTGTCTCTATCCTTTCAGGAAAGTCTGATACCAATATGTTGACCCCGGAAGGATGGGGAGCCTGATTAGCTTCCAGTGCAGGAATGAACCAACAATCCTGTGCGCACTGCGGAGTACCTTTAAGTGTTGTTCTATAAACGCGCTAAGCTATAACGCTATAAACGCTTTGTAAAGACGTATGGTGACTCCTCTGCTGAAGACTGAGAACAACACTACAAGACAAAAAGACCGAAACGTGTTTAGAAATGGCAGTGCGGATTGCATGTAAATTTGGCTGTAGTTAATAAACGATCAAGTTTATGATATTGTGGAAAATGATTAAGAATTTTGGTTGCATAGAACGATAACTCAGTGTTTTTTTTTACTTAAAGAGCGAATCTGCTAAGGAGCGTTGATGAACTGATACAGGGTTTGACTGCTTCAGTGACAAATGTCAAAAGCTCGGAAATCCTGACATCACACCACATTCAAATCTATTGCACTTCTATGAGTTGTCATAAGAGTAGTGAACTCTTTATTGCGCTTAAATCACATGGTGGGTTTAAAAGTTATCCCTATAGCCTAGAGTAATCGAGTTATCCCTAGCCTATTCCTTAGTCATGGATCAAAATATTACAAAGCTGTACTTTCTATTCCGTTTAGAAGAAAAGAAAAAACCTTGATCAAGAGGAAAAAGACGGTTAGAAGAAGAGGAAACAGTGAAGTTCACCTTACAAGTAACCGATTCGCACTTGATAGATAACTCTTCATTCCTTCTTCCATGTAATACAATTGACTGCCACAAAATCGTGCCTCTGACAAGTCGGGTTGAACGTCCTCAACAGCAAGGAAATAAAAAAAATATGAAAATGGTTAGCGGTAAACTTAGTAGTTTTCGATTCATTTCAGATGTTCTTCTGGTAGTCTTTCCTTCTTTCACTTTCAGTATTATTCGCATCAACTCTAGCTATATTAAATAGTTTGAGGAAAAATGTAAGCAAAATCCAGATTAATATGAAACGAAAAAACGAGGACATTTTTAGAACACATTTCGGGCTCTAAAATTGATTGATGCGCAATTTCTGGGACAGACATTTGAGAAAAGAAGTTGCAGATCACCTTCTTCACAGTTTTGCTATCGTGCTTATACCCGTCCATGATTGATAGAGATGCACGTTCGCATTCAGCTACAAAGAAGACAAGTGAATGAGAATGAATGGATGAACCGATAACTGAATCACTAGGGTTAAGTGAAATTTACAAAAAAAGAGTCGGACGCCGTGAAATGGGACAGTTAGTGAAACGAAAACCATATTACGAGATGATTAGCTGTTTTGTTGTAAAGAGTTACTCAGGAACTTCAAGCAAATCAGCGTTTTGTATCAGTACCTACCAATTGTTGAGGAAAGATAAAGATGTTCAAGTCGTATATAAACTCGTTGCCTTGGCTCCACTCGAATTAACCAATAACATGTGGCGTTTCGTGGGAACGTAGTCGGATATCCGGGTGATACAATTTCTCCTAAAAGGTTTTTGATTTCCGTCACTGAGTAGACTGAACCATACTCTGTTTGCGTTAACGGTGTGTGGAGAAGTGGTGAATCATGACCAGCAAAACTACAAAGACAAAGGGATGTGATATTCTGAAAGGGCGGAAAAGAAAAATGGAAAACGTTTGGGAGAGGGTAATCTTGTGTTTTCAAAGTTTGAAGTTTTAAAACAAGAAATCGGGGATTGCGCAGCTGATTTGAACTCCCATACTTTTCTCCACTTTTTAGGAGAATACGGTAGTGTGGACTCAGCATGTTAGGTCATTGACATTATATTGAAGTGAATCACCGGTGTTTGTGATTGGTTTCGTATCATCACAAAATGTCCTACCCATTAATTGGCCTGGCTTCGTCGCACCACCGCAACTTCGTTCGAAAGCTTTTTCGTCGTCTGGAACATACGACGGCGGTTGTTTCACTAGAGCTAAAGTTAGAACACATTTTTTGATCCGTGAACAAAATAGACTTTTCATGAATAAAGCAATAAGAACTTTACTTCGTTAGTTGATTAAATACGTTGGATTAGCTGCTTTATTTGCTAAAAGAGTTGCATTCTCTCTATTTGTAATCGAAAACGGTAATGTGACTAAGCAACCTTCCGAAATGATCTCGTAGCGAATCCGGAATCCACGATGCTGACGTCCAGCTGCTGTGGTGACGAACTGCACATGAACAGTCGGCTGCATGGTCTCTATTTTGGCAGGCACGTTGGTGCCGCACAAGCGCTTACCGACATGCTCTTTACCTGTGGATAACAATGATTAAATACCGCAGCGAAATGATTATTTAGATGCCTTCTGAGTAGTTGAAAGCGATGGAGCTTGAATAACTGAGTATGCTCACATTTTTAAAGCTACTATTAAACATAGTAAATAGTAATAAATAGAACCACAACGTTGCTGAGATATTTGCAAAACTCTGGACCGCAGGTGTCTATGGTGGGGACGAACGCGCTATTGTCCTTTCCGGGGAGTAATGCGTTCACCATGTCCCCGGAAAGGACAATAGCGCGTTCGTTCCCCACCATAGACACCTGCGGTCCAGAGTTTTGCAAATATCTCAGCAACGCTGTGGTTGTATTTCACTTAGTACCCTGCCGCGAAATTATAGTAGGCAGAAAATAAAAAGGTATAACGTAATAAATAGACTTTATATTAGAATAAGGCAAACCCTCTTTGATAATTCTCTCATGATCACAACCCCTCCAATTCTACAACTACCGGTAATTTATCGTTTGTTGTTGAAAAACCAGCACTGTTCGTCAGCTGTGGTATCTTAATGTGGCCGATTTCTACTGTTTGTGCAGCCGCCATGAAATTAGGCGTCATCCCATGCAGCAGTCACTCAAATTTGAGCTTCGGGCATAGTGTGTAGCGGATTGAGTACGGTAGCGGTCAGTGGCAGAGTGTACTTCTACAATACGCTTCTCTGTAGATCAGTCTTGCTGGTAAACAGACAAGAACCCGTTCCAGATCACGAAGAAGATAACTACAAATCATATATTTAATCTAGCAAACCAAGGTTATTAATAACGAACCAGCTTCCCGGTTCTCTAAAATTGACGACTATTTAAGATACTGTGCTTTGGATTCTGTTTCGAATTTGAAAAAGGAAATATAATAGGTAGAAATTGACAGTCAATGAGAAATCGCCTCCTAGTCGTCGGTGTCTTTATTGTATGACATTCCACTATGAAAAGAATCAAAATGGAACGGCATAGTACTGTATTCACAGCAACTCTTCTAGTCAGACTTTATTATTCATTGTAGTTTACATTCTCACCTAGACGATCAACGACGATTACAAGTACATAAGCTTCGAGGCACTGTCCACTGTTCCTACAATGAACATGACAGATCCACTTGTCCACTTTTTCCATGTCTTAAATAAGAAAACAGTTGCTGTTATAGATGGAACCTGTGTTTTTCGGCCAAATCAAACGATAAAAATGTTAGGTGTATAACATTTGATGCCACAGTCGATATGTTGTATAGGCATGAGAGGTCGGATCGATACGGTGTTGGAAACGCCGGGGATTCGAGTGTACCTGGAAAATACTATATTTACATTCATATAAATTCTACAACTACCAGTAATTGGTCATAACATAAGTGAAGGTGTACAGCTGTTTCATAAATCCCTTCAAATTAGCCATTAGCTAGATATTCTTCCTAGTTTATTTCCATTGACAACTGTAGATCTCTCACTCATGTAGGCGATCTAAATCCAATTACCCACCAGACTATGACTCGTCCCCAAGTGACACCCCCAGTGACAGGTCAAATGTGAACGAAGTGCTCCCATTAATACCTTTTAACATTAAGCGTAGGTGGATAGGCTTGCTGTCTCTACATAACTGGATTGTCTTCTGTACACATGCAGGCGTATGTACCGATTGCATGCTGCACGTAGATTTAGCCAAAAGTCTGGATCAACTATATGGTAGAAACATGTGAAGCGGTTTAGGATTGTCTTTAATAAATAGGCCTTACGTTAATCCTGCAGGAATCTTATATCACAGTTAGCACAGCAGGAGAAATCAAACGTCGATAACTTCACAGATGAAATGTGGTGATGTTTGTGCACAACGAATGAATACAGCACAATTGGCAGACCTGGTTTGCAAGAAAAAAAGTAAATGGAGACTATGGTGGTACCGGTTTAGGTTAATCAGTGACTAACGGGATATTGTGGTTCCGCTGTTATTTTCTTCACCTGTGCTTGGTCGGTCCGAAAATATATGCCTATCGACGCATTCGGTTACCACCGTGCGCACGGCGAACAACGCGAGCAGCCATGCCGTCGTCACCTGCCGCATCGGACATCGACCTATTCAGCTCTCATCACTGTCCGACGTAGAAGCCGATCTGCAACAACTTTATCAACGAAATTAGGTTTAATGTGGAAAATATAAAGCCAATTCAACGGAAAGACGGTGCTGAACAATTATAAGAATCCACCGAATATAGTAGTCTCATCGTTTGGATTCCATTTCCTTCAGTGAAGTTATGCGACTCATGTATATTATCTCAAGCGTAAACTAAAACAAATTCTCCGTGTAAGGAATGAAATAACAAATAAGGATAAAAGAATAAAAGGTAAAGCCTTCAGCGTTGTCGTTAGAGATGACTGAATGCATCTCTGACCTATGCAATAACTTGAGGTAGCACACCGATGTATGACGCCGGTGGTTTTATCCTTCAAAACAAGTCTGGTGAAAATTTGTCGACCTTAGACTGATGGGAACGTTGGTGAGTCCGGAACGAGGGATCGAACTTAAGATCATGTGTGTGTTACAGGGCACATCTAACTACAGCACAACGAGCTACCACAACAGATAAAGATAAATTATAAGGCGTTCTGCGTCGATCACTCTTTCAGGGATGCGTTATGCTACCTCGACTCTACAAAGCGTCGTATAGATGAGTGAATGCACTCTTGACCTTCATATTAAGTTGCGTTCACCTAATGAAGTATCAGTTCAGTATATCTCTTTGAACTGTTCAATTTACACGAGGTTATTGTATTAGTTTTATTCGGTTAACGTTCGACAACGTCCTCTTCCTTATAGCTGATGATCCAAGTCAATGTCTATAGTCGTTTGTCTTCTCGATGTGATGTTTTCGTCGTCCTACCGTGCCGCGTTTTCTTCAGCGAAGCATCGCTCGAATGAAGCAACCTCATCCGGCAACGGCCTTTTATGCGAAACGGTTATTGACTGGTTGTCGATTAATAATTTGATTTTGACAGTGATATCATCTCAAGTCGGTAATCCAACCTGCGCCAGCAAATCTTCCATTTCTCCCTGTCATAAACAAAAGTAACCTATTGGATTTTGATCGCTATAGAGACTCGTTGAGCATCACATCTTTCCTCTAAAGATTTCGTGAAGAATAACTATCAGGTCAATGGTCTCATGCGATACGGGGAACACCCGAGTAATCCAGTCAGTAACGGTTCTTGTTCACTGGTTGTCGCTCATACGTATTACATGTCCGGCAAACCTTATCCTCGACGGTCTGGCGTATTGAACGGCGTGTTGGATTTCTGGTCGTTGACGTAGGTCGGAGCTTCTGAACACTTCCCTCACTTGCGTGATACCGGGTGCTCCTAGCATCGTCCCTTCGAATACGCATTCTATAACGATGAGTGGTCTTTGATTCTGCTTACGTATCGACCAGGTTTCTGACGCATAAATTAAGGCAGGAAGTATCGTGGAGCCGAAAACGTCGGCAAAGAGTTGGGTGTTCTTTCCTCTCTTGAAAGCTCCCAAGAAGCTCGCTCCCTCATGTTCAACTTTGGAGCTATGTCGTTCATCATGTTGACTTCCCAACATTGATAGACATAACTAGACATTCAAAGGATTTCAATCCGTTGAGCGTGAATGGGAATACGAAATCAATCCTTTTTCATGATTAACGTTTTGGTGAGATTTCTAAGAAGAGAAATCTCGGCTAACATTCGTTTCGTTCGGGCTATGCTTAGTGATGACACCATAGAAACAATATCTTCAGCAAAACAACGGTGGTGTAATTACCAACGATCGCTTTTGACCTCATGTTGTCCCATTCCAATGTTCGCATGACATTCTCCAGAGTGGCAGCAAATAATTTTGGCGAGATGGTATCGCCTTACCTAAACATTCATTTTATTCTTCGTATTTTTGTTGAGCAAACGCGAGGTGTTATTATTTTTCGTTCACGATTAAGCTGACGTTTCGGCGGATTTCGACTTCCTCAGAGCCGCTTCCTATGAGGTTTCCATTAAGTATTACTTAGTATTACTAGTATTTAGTATTACTTAGTGGAGACCTCATAGAAAGCGGCTCTGAGGAAGGCGAAATCCGCCGAAACGTCAGCTCATTTGTGAATAAAGAATAATAACACCTCGCGTTTGCTCAACAAAAATACGAAGAATTACTTGATCAATGCCGAGGTTAATAGAAAGTCGGTCGTGGGAGTTACACTCATTTTATATCGACATTAGTATCGCTAGCGAAAGGCGATATTTTGGTGGCAAAAGATGGAGCGGTCTCTTGTACTCTGGTGATACTTAAATGAGCGTTGTTATCGTCTGGATATGGTTCATCGCACTGAATCGCTTCTGAAACCGTGCTTGCTGACATGGCTGTCCTTCGTCTCGTGTTGTCAGTCCTGTTTAAAATCGCGGAAGACTTTGTAGACGACAGACAGCAAGCAGATTAAGTGACAGTTACCGATATCGTGGAGATCAACATTCTTGAAAAATAACACATCTTGCTGGTCTTCCACTGAGTAGGAACCTTGCATTCAGACAGGTAACGTATGAATAGCCTAGCTAGTGTGTTTACGACTGGCGGAAGGTTCTTCAAATGTTCAACTCTTACCTCCTCCTCACCTGGTGTTTCTCGACTCTTCACCGACGAAACAGTATGCAGGATTTCGGAAGGAAGAACCCGTGACAAAATTTAGCTATCCTCCTTTCATTCATTTGAAGGTAGGAGGACGTGACTATTGAAGAGATCTGAGTAGCATTCGTGGATGATTTTCTCCATTGCCTTTCTGGACACTAACTGTTCCATCCGGGCGTCGGGGTTCAATCATCTTGGTCTTGTAATTGGCGAAGCTTCGGTGGGTTTTGCGAATGCTCTTCGCAACCTCTGCAGCGTCGACTATTACTGCTGCTCTTCGCTCTTTAAGATCTTTTATCTCCTGTCTGCAATGTTTTGCAAGTTTGGACGTTAGTTCGCGGCTGCCTGCAGCTCGTGCGATTCCACGCTGGCGTATCAGCTCGAGTGTTTCTGGAAATAAACGTCTCTTGGTGACTTTCGAACTCTCAGCTTTCATAGCGCTAACGTGAAGATGCTGATTGACCCGATCGTATTCTTCGTCGATGTTATCGACAACGGCAACTTCCCAACAGCTGACTAATGAATCGAATAAGTCCCAGTTCGCGGTGGTTTTGGGACTCAGGTTTTGGAATTTAGCGGCTTTTTCTCCTTCCCATGAAAAATAGAATCTTGCACGAAGGAGACGATGGTCTGATCCCGTGTAAAATTTTGGGACAACAGCGACATGGGTTAGGCAATACCTTCGGTCTACGACAATGTGGTCTATTTCGTTATGGTAATCTCCGCTGAGACTCCCACGTCCAGCGCTGTGGGTGGGGCTTCTGGAATTGCGAGTTACCATGGATTGTCTAGGTCGCCATGATAAACTCAGACAACCGCTCATCCTGTCCGCTCCACTCTAGTCCATGGGTCCCAATTCGACGCTCTCCAGACGTTCCTCTTGGTCCAGTCTTGGCGTTGAAATCTCCAATGACGACCTTAAAGAATGCGTGGTCTTCTCTGTAGAACTTCTCCAAGTCCATATAGAACGCTTCGACTTCTTCTTCATCATAGTTTGATGTCGGCGCGTAAACGACGAAGTTCGGGTTGTAAGTTGTTCGAATGAATTGATGTTCATGAACAAACTCGTGTTGACGAGAACGCCGACGCCGCCAACTCCTCTACCGTCGCATGTTCCGAGGAACAGTTCTTCTCTGGTGTCATAGACGGCGTTGAATTGGTTTCTTCTCGTCCCGGCTAGGCCGATGACGTCGTACAAATCCTCTATCGTAAACCCAGATGCAAATGAGTGTGCAATCTAGGTACAGATGGTCACCTTGATCCTTGGAGATATAGGCAGCGCAGAATGTCCTGTGATTTTAGCAGCATATCCGTACTCGTCCTACCCAATGCCGCAGAATCGGCGGGCCCTTTCAGGGTCAGTGGAATGAGGCCTGTTTATTTTACCATGTTTGGCGGATGGTACCCACGTATAAGTTGCTGAGCCGTGAACGCGAAGCTTGGATATGTTGGTGGATAGTTTGTCAGTCTCTTCCAGAGTGTACGTGGAGTTTATTTGTTGAAGGCGACTACCGTTTCCCATACTGTTTCCTGTCATATGATTGCAAGCTCTTCGCCGAATTGATTCGTAGAATACGATCCGCATAAACGAGAACACACCAGTGCACTCATGCCTGAATACCTTTTCATGAACAATAAAAGACATATGCCAAATAGGCATAGCAGAAACGAGGAGTTCACCCTAAGGATCCACCTAGATCTGGAGTCTCAGATAAGCATGACATCGCTTTTGCCCGCGCTGAACTCGCTATCCGCCACGTGGGGATGCACCGCATTGCCTCGCGACTAACCGGCAGCTGATCCCTCTGTGAGGGAGATCCGTGGCCATGATAATATAAAATGATAAAGCTGTGGGCGTTGATCAATCCCTAAGGGATGTGTCATGCATTCAACTTCATTAAGCATCGTTTTGGCGTGATTGAATGCGTGTCTGTCCCTTACAATGAGTTGTGGTGGCCTATCGATGTGTGGAGCCAATACTGTTATCCTTTTAGACAAGTGTAGTACCAATTTGCTGACTCGGGAGAGATGTAAGGCTTGGTGGGCGAGGTACGCGGGGATTGGTCCCATGTGTGTTGCTGGGCGCATTCAACCATTGCGCCACACGCGCCCTCTGATAATATGATAGTATAATATCCTAAAATAATAGAATGAATAAAATGTTTAAATTGCTATATCGGCTTGGGCTGATTCCAAAGTCTTCTTTAATCACAAGAATCGCTGACGTCTAAGAAGCATCCAGTTCGCAAGGCAACAAGTTTTCCCCTCATCCACAGAGAGCAGTATCTGGTCGTGGTGACAACCTGAGAATATCTGAGCAGAGCTATCTGAAGCTTGTAGAAGACCTAATTCTTGAGAAGCATCAACATGTCAATGATGGATAAAACTTACAGATCTTTTAGTCGACGCTGTACCTAAATACGAATCCA